ATTTAATAATAAATAAATAAATAAAAGCTTCTAAGAACTCTGCAACGACCAACGAACTCTTCAACTACCAACTACTATATAAACGGGTACTTCCCTCCAATATAACTCAAAACTTTTTCGAGCCATAGTATTATAACATTACTAAGGGAAGAGAAATGGCTCATTTTATTGGGGCTTCTTTAAACATGCTGATTTTATGCTTCACCTTCTTCCTCTTACTTAACCTTTCTCATAATTTTGCCTTTGCTTTCACTTCTCAAGATTACTCTAATGCTCTTGAGAAATCAATTCTCTTTTTCGAGGGACAGAGGTCTGGAAAGTTGCCTGCAAATCAACGCCTTAATTGGAGGGGTGATTCTGGCTTATCCGATGGTTCCGGTTACCATGTATAATCCTTAGATATTCTTATATTATTAATTAGTCCATTAATTTCTACTACATTTTAACGATAACATGATTACTAACTCCTTTTGTTTGTTTTAGGTTGACCTAGTAGGAGGATATTATGATGCAGGGGACAATATTAAGTTTGGGCTGCCAATGGCATTCACAACAACTCTACTAGCTTGGAGTGTAATCGAATTTGGAAGTTCCATGCACAACCAACTTGTCAATGCTAAAGAAGCGATTCGTTGGAGTACTGATTATCTTCTTAAAGCAGCTACAGCGAGCCCCAACACGCTATACGTGCAAGTAGGAGATCCAAATGAAGATCACAAGTGTTGGGAAAGACCTGAGGATATGGACACACCGCGCAATGTGTACAAAGTGTCGCCACAGAATCCAGGTTCTGATGTTGCAGCTGAAACTGCTGCTGCTTTGGCTGCTGCCTCTATTGTGTTCAAAGATTCTGATCCTTCTTATTCCTCTAAATTACTGCATACTGCACAAGAGGTAACTAGCATTGTCCTGCACATTTTTATCTTCTTTTGTGATTCTTATTCATTATATATATTCTAACAGATTTGACTTGCGTGTTACAGGTGTTTGATTTTGCGGACAGGTATAGAGGTTCATATAGTGACAGTCTCAGTTCAGTGGTCTGCCCATTTTACTGCTCTTACTCTGGATACCATGTAAGATGAAACGTTACTTTGGATACTATAGTTAGAGTCGTTTTGATTAACTGATTAAAAGTAGCTGATAAGTATCTGAAAAATATTTTTAAATGCTACAACTAATATACTATGTAAGTAGTTATGTGTATGAATAAGAATACTGAGTAAATACCCACTAACTTTATAATGTAACTTTTATTGATGTTTGACCATAAGTACATTTTGAAATATTCAGGATGAACTTTTGTGGGGAGCATCATGGCTTCATAGAGCTTCGCAAGATGCTTCTTATCTTGCTTATATCCAATCAAATGGCCAAACTTTGGGTGCTACTGAAGATGATTATTCCTTCAGTTGGGATGACAAGAGACCTGGAACCAAAATTGTTCTCTCAAAGGTTTAATTCCATTTAGTCTCAGTCCAACTTTAAATTTTTTTGCCATATATAAACTCAGTCCTCTCATCCTTCCCTTGGTTTTCACAGGACTTCTTGGAAAAGAGTACTCAAGAATTCCAAGCATACAAAGTTCACTCAGACAACTATATCTGCTCTTTAATTCCAGGCTCACCTAGCTTTCAAGCTCAGTATACCCCAGGTCAGTAGTTGCATTTTCCTTCACCTTTGGCATGATTTTGTAAGTTACCTAAACAAGGGCGAATGGAGACTTTCTCCAATGGGCTCAAAAAAACCATTTTTTTTTTAACACGAATATAGATTCTATAAAGTTTTAACAAATGGTTGAACTTATAATTTCAAAAGTAGAATGAAGTCCGTGCTTAAAACTTAAAAGTTGAACCTATCAAGTTAATCTTGGATTTGCTTATGCAACTAGAGAGCTAGCAATTATACACATTGCATAAGTTTCAGGTACTAACGTATGAGAAAAATGTCTGCAGGGGGGCTTCTATTTAAAGGAAGTGCAAGCAATCTCCAATACGTAACATCCTCATCATTTCTTCTAATAACCTATGCCAAATACTTGAAGTCAAATGGAGGAGCTGTCTCATGTGGAGCTTCAAGATATCCTGCAGAGAAGCTCGTTGAACTCGCAAAAAAACAAGTAGACTACATATTAGGAGATAATCCAGCAAGAATATCGTACATGGTTGGTTTCGGACAGAGGTATCCGCTACGTGTGCACCATAGAGGTTCATCTCTACCATCAGTGCACGCACATCCCGGTCACATTGGCTGCAACGAGGGATTCCAGTCTATGAACTCGGGCTCGCCTAATCCAAACGTTCTTGTTGGAGCCATTGTGGGTGGTCCAGACAGTAAAGATAACTTCGAAGATGACAGGAATAATTATCAGCAATCAGAGCCTGCTACATACATTAATGCACCACTAGTTGGAGCTCTTGCTTTCTTATCTGCAAAATCTATCTAAGTAGTAGTGGATAACATATTTGGTTGATTGGAGTTCAGTCTTTGCTCTATTAGTTAAGTCTTGTAGCAGAGGAAGTGGATCAGGAAATCCGTTATGGTCCCTCAAGATAATTGTGACAAGAAAGTTGCACTAGATATTCGACCGATTTAACTTTTTATTTTTCTTCTTATGCATTCAGCATGTAAACAAGAGATTTCCAGAGGGATTCTTGATTCCTCTAGAGTCTTAAGACCCTTAAAATGCTTGAAATGAATTTTCGGATGACTGCTAAATTGGTATACTTATATCTTATTATTAAGTTTGGCTTTCAACTCTTTGTGTGTCATATGGACAAACGTCATAACGGTATTCCTTGCTCAAGTTAGGTTTTGTCCCTGTACGATGCCAAATTCATAACTCCACATTTGTTGGACCCATGAACTAAAGTTTGCACAGATATCCTTGTTACACCCCTTAAAAGTTTCCCATGTCCTTGTAGCCACGTCTAACTAAACTAGTTTAACTGCAAAATCAGCACCAAGAGTTTTCAACACTACTGGAGTATCACCATTTTAAACTCAATAGATAATGGTTGGTGATTTGAGGTATTTTAGCATGAACTCGTTATATTTTTGAGTTAATATTTTATACTGAATTTTCACATGTATATTTATGCTGTTAAAAAGTATAGGACTCACTTGGATCAAGATTTGTAAAATGGGCCGGGCCGACCCACGAATTGGCCAAAATAACCCATTAAAATGAATCCTTTAACTGGCCTACGACCCATTAACCCCAAATTAGACCAATGGGCCTGGGCCTGGGCCGGCTGCAATATTTTGACTCATTGAACCGGACCGACTCCGAACCGGTAGTTGACTTGCAGGTCAATCGGCCCGGCCCGTACCGGCTAGTTAAGACATTATTTTAAAAAAAATTATACCTATTTATAGAAAGAAGAAACTAAATCCATTCAACCCCCATCTCTCATTTTCTAATTCCATGTGCTTCTCAAATTTAATATTAATAAAGTATGATTTTTCTTTAATTTTTGTTCTAATAAAACTTCACGAGTTCATGTATTACTTTCAAGTTCGTATATGCATAAAGTATGAAATTTTTTATCATTTGTTAATTAAAAGATCTTGCATTTGTTTCACTTTATTCTTATGTATTTTAAAATTTTAAGTTATTCAATTTCAAATTCAATTTGTTAGAAATAAAAGTTACGTTTTAAAAAAAAAAAAATAGAAGTAAGTTTTTTGTTGATTTGATATCTCTTTTATCCTACTAAATTTTATTTTTTTAAGGATTTTTACTTAGCTGTATAACACAATTTGTTTTTATTAATTTTGACTAGGTCATTAGGGCCCGGATTAATGGCCGGGTCAAGAGGTTTTGATTAACGGGTTGGACTCGCACAAGCCCTATAAGAAAGTGAACCAAACAGCCCGATTAAGGACCCATGGGGCAAAAATTAACAGATTCCGATCGGATCAGCCCATTTAACATGTTTAGTTGGACCTATCTTATGTATAGAATGACTATTGACTTCAAGCCAGTAGTTTTGGGACTATTGACTTCCTCAATACGGTTCATTCTGTCATCATGATATATTAAGTTAAAAAGACTACAAACGACGCATCAATTGAGTTTCATTTCCCCGATAACAACTTAATCATAGACATCATTTCTAGGTACATATTTACGTATAACACTTTAGTAGAATAAAAAGAATTTGTACTATGCAGCAAATCATTTTTTCCTTCAATCTAATTAGCGCCAATTATTGTTACTAGGCTACTCTCTTTTGATATGTGGCTAAGTTTTAGCGGTCCAAATCTAACTCCAAGTGCATTGTATCATGAATTTTTCTTTTGGACTAAATTATCCCTTGCCCCTCCACAAAGTTGCTGTGTTCTGGACAAGAATTCTTGCAAAATACATCACCACGGCCCTGCACATGCTAACAAGTTTATTGCCTAAGTGTTGGTGATTGAACCAAGTGTTAAATCACGCTAATGAAGGAAGACGACATAGTTTAGAGGAAACACAAAGGGAGACCATCCATGTGGAAAATTTGTACAATCATTAGACAACTATTTGGACCCCTCAAACCTCTATCACTATAACCATATTATGACTTTACCCTTTACTCGCTAAAAGTTCCATAGGACAGAGCATCCTGAGTTGTAATAGACAAAATTACCCTACATGCCCATTTGATCAAAAGATAAAATTGCTCCTTTATCCATCTCGCACGAATCGCTATTTATGTGTGTCTATCTAAGGACCAAAAGTATGATATTATAGCTTTTTATAATAATAAGAGTGCTCTCTTTTGAACCTGGTTGTGTTTTGTAATACTAACGCAATTACAGTTTTGAAAGATTCTTGATTAATGAAACATGATTGCAAATCACGTAAATCATTGCTTTAATAGTATCGTCAAAGCGAAGCATCCTATGGTTCTTGGAATATGCAGTCTCTTTTACTCCATTTCTCATTAAGAGACATCACAACTTGCTCACCACCAAATTCCATGTCACAAGCTATGTATGAAAATATTGAAATCATTTCAATTTACAATATGATCAAGAAAATATACAACCGAAGAGAGTGAAAGACTGATGTTGATGTAGAGGGGGTGGGGTGGGGGGTGACTAAGTGAGAAAGTTGAGTACCTCTATAAGAGACATTAAATAGCAGAGGTACATGTGAGGTTGAACATCTTTTTCCACTTTTTACAATTTTCAGCAGCTGAAAGGGCAAGAAGATAGAACAGCATGGCCCTACTCCTATTATCTTAAAAGCTTGTAATAAAGCAAAAGCAAGAAAGTTAGCCTAATGGATTAGAAAAAGCAAGCAGTGCAAAGCAGCAAAGGTGATATAGAAAAGCAAGAAACTCCCCACCTTCTCCTAAAAGGTTAAAAAAACACTCCCAATTGGAAGAGAAGATGATGATGATCAGAAGCCAAGAAAATCCCAGAAATAAGTCCTTTGGTATCTCCGATGATCACATTATCCCTACTTCTATATGTCCAACCTGGAAACTGTACGAGAACCCCTTCTATAATTTACAAAACCAACCTCACAACCCCACAATTCCACATCAAGAAGAAACCAACCACACTCCACTCAAAAGTCACAACAATAAGCAAATTCATCGTCTAAACCTCCCCATATCTGCTAGGAAAATTGCAGCATCCTTTTGGGATCTTACCTTTATTAGACCATTCATGGATTCTGAGCTTGAAATGGCTCGAGCCCAAATCGCTGAATTGAAGTCCAAGTTAGAACATGAGCGAAAGGCACGTAAGAAGTTGGAATCAATGAACAAGAAGATTGCAAGAGAGTTGTCTGAAGAGAGAAAAGGGAGAGAAGCATTGGAGCGAGTCTGCGAAGAACTTGCCAATCATATATCGATGGATAGAGAAGAGATCAATCGATTGAGGAAAGAAATGGAAGAAGAGAGGAAAATGCTGAGAATGGCTGAGGTTATGAGAGAAGAGAGAGTCCAAATGAAGCTTAATGATGCCAAATATTTATTGGAAGAAAAGTTGTTAGAATTGGAAGAAACCAAGAAAATGTTGCCATCTAATGCCAAGACTGAAGCCAAAAATCAAGAAGACATGAACCATAATATCTCATCAGCTGCATGTGATCAACGAACAGAGAAAAGGTGTGAAATAGCTGATCACAAGTCCATTTGCAACAGTGCAAGTGAGGGAAACAGTGCTTCTTTTAATTACCAATTGACGTTTCATAGAAGAAACCAATCACCAGAGCCTGAAAATCCTCACATCAAACGAGGGATCAAAGGATTTGTGGAATTTCCAAAGGTGGTCCGAGCCATTAGTTCTAAAAGCAGACATTGGGGTACAAAGTTGGAGTGTCAAAAGGCTCAGCTAAGGATATTACTGAAACAGAAGTGTCCTATCCGATCCAATGGTCTTATAACAAGCTGATGGCTTAAAGTTTGTAACTTTTAGAGTCACATTCTGTATGGCTCAATCCAAGAATATTACTGAAACTGAAGAGTCCAATCCAATCCAATCCAATGGACTTGTAACAAGCTACTAATAGCTTAAGTTTGTAACTTTGGTGTGCCATTTGTTTTTTCTTCTTCAAGTCTTGATTGAATTTTCTCTTAGGCCTACAGCGAGAATCTGCTGTTTTCATCATGATATACTATGAGTTTTTTGTGATTTTGTTATAATGTAAATGTAAAATCCTATGGAGTATGATCTATAATTCACTTTGAAGCTAGATGATTATGGTTGTACAGTAAGGATTGATGAAAATCCCAGTTGGTATCATATATTAACATAATTGGAGCGGACTAAGGACTCATACACATATTATTTACATATTCATCTTACAACTGAATGACCTGAAGAAGGCTCATAATTTACTTGGATCTTGTGGGAAAAAAGAAAACTGTGATTTCATTGTTTCCAGTTTAAAAGTAACAATAAAGAGGATGAAAATGCTAATGAGGTAATAGTAGCACATATTCTATACTATAGGAGGCAAATTTCGACATTTCCAGATGACCAATTGTTAGTTTCATCATTAAGGAAAGTGTCATCATTTAAGTAGCCCCAAGCATCATTGCCGACGCTATTCTTTTTGTTGGTGCAATTTGGTTGAACATAGAAATACTTATCCGTTAATGATGAAAGTAGTAAATGAACTCGTAATAATCCGTCAATTTTGCATCACTCGAATAGTTTATTACGGACTACCGTATTTGAAATGTGACATTGTTCGTGGGATGTAAAGGATAAATCTAGCTCCAACTAGACTCAATTCTTGACTAGTTTGATTTTTTCTCATTAATGGAAGAGGGATTGTGAATATTACACTATGAATTAGAAGAGGAATTTCAAGAAATGGTAGGTCTATAATAAATAAATCAAACATATATTCCCTCCGTTTAAATTTATGTGAATTTATTTGACTAGACACGGTGTTTAAGAAAAGAGAGAAAACTTTTGAATTTGTGATGTAAAATGAGGCACATATATTTTGTGTGGCTATAAATCATTGCATAAAGGTAAATTGTTTCCAAATAAGGAGAGATATTATTTTTTTTGGTACGAACTAAAAGAGAAATAGGTTCACATACATTGAAAAAAGGCAGAGTAAGTTATTCGTGTCTTCCATTGATGAAGTGGAAAGTGAACAGGTGCATTAATGTTCTGGCTAATCAAGGTCACAACACGGTAAAGGGGAACTTTCTGTGATTATTCTGCTCCAAATCCGAATACGGGCTTGTTACTACTGTTGGCTATTCCTCGATAAATCCAAGCTGCGCATAAAAATACGAAAAATAGAACCCAATCGAAAATCGATTATTTTTAGGTTTGATTTGGTTTGGTTTTAGTTTTAAATTTTAAAAATAGATCAAATTTGATTTTGTTTTGATTTTAATCAAAAAAAAAACGAATCAAACTGACTATATAAATAATTATTTAAATTTATTATTATACCTATATATATATATATGTATATTTTTATACAAAGTTTATAATATTTTATGGTACATATTAGTCGTTTGTATTTTTAGTCTAGCTCTTTACTATTTTAATAGTCTAATTCTTTGCCTTTACATTTTAGTTTGATTGGTAGTTTTCTTTTGCTAAGTACAAAAATTTATTTTTTGTTAAAAATAATCGATTTTTAACTGTGTACGTAAATTATTCATCACTATTTGATTCAATTATCATCAATATACCTTGATCAATATATCTTGGTAAATGATAGATTTCTCAAAGAGCAATTGGTTTGATAGTGTTACGTTGTAAATGTAGTCGTCGGAATATGTGTTTGGTAGCGTATATCTCATATTTAAGAAAAAATCCAATAAAAACCCGAAAAAACCGAAAAATAGACAAAAATCGAATTGATAAAAAACCGACTTAATTGGTTTGGTTTGGTTCCAATATTTGAAAAATCGACTTACTTGGTTTGATTTCTTTTTAAAAAAAAAACGATCGAAACCGAACCATGAACACCCCTAAACCCTCTAATGTGTGCTGCTAATATGCGGAAGCTGCCTATTCTGGAGAAAAAATGATATCCGTTTTCTGCTATAAAGCACTTTCTCAGTTTCATACTAAACCACCCAAATTGAAAACTTATTGTTTGACTTTGTGTTAAGAAAAAATCCTACTTCTTGCATTAAAAAAATTGCAAACTTGTGTTTGGTTCAAGAACTGACTAAATGTTGAGAAATATGTAGAATTGAGAAAAATTTCAACTTTGGAAAATAATGAAACAAGTTTTCAAGTTCTATCTTCAACTTTTTCTCAAGTTCTATATTTTTCCAACCGTATCTTCATCTTCAAAAACAAAGAGCTAGCCAATTTTGTAAAAATTGGAAAAGGTTTTCCACAATTTTCCAAACAAATCCACGGGGGTGACTTGACATAATTGGGGGCCTAAAGCATAACTACAATTAGAGTCCCAAATTTTTATAATCAATTTTTAAGTAATTATTTTTCAATTGATAATATAGCTAACCGATTTAATCACTTTTGAGACGTTGATCTTATGTATTTTTATTTTGAAAAATTTCTTTTCGTTGAGACAACAGTTAGGCATTTGAAAATGAATCAAGTTTTTTTATGTAAATAATTATATCGATTAGAGTGTTATCTTCTATTTGTACTAATTTTCGTAACACTTTTTAACTCAAAATATAAGTCTAAGCCATCAATATTAAAGTGACTATTATGCTTTAAGGATCATCAAAGGTTAATAAAATATTTTTTTTCCTTTCGAATTCTCATCATTTAGTAATCTCAATATATTAAAATAATACTTATATTTAGTGGTCAAAATATAAAAATAGCAAATGAAGGTTATATCAAGTTTAAGGAAATTATAAGGATATGTTTACTTTATAGAAGACTTTTCTGTTCCTTAACAGTCACATAAACTTCACGACGACAAATTTTTACTATAAAATACTTAAACAATTTTAAAAAAAAAATCACATAACATATTCTTTTTAAAATTGGGGACCCTCCAAATTGGGAGGCTAATGCATATTCCTTAGCTGCCAAGCCCTTTGAGCCGCTCTGCAAATCCATCTTAATACTTCTAAAGCTTATAGAACCAGTACTTAACCAGTCAATTGGCCGTTTGAAAGTCCGAAATGTCACACAACTGTAATACCCTATCCACAAAATATTTGTTTTCTGTGATAAGCTTCAGTGAGGATTTCTAGTATATATATTATGAGAAAGGAAGGGAAAGATTATGTGGCACTACACTTAAAATGCTAAATACGTAATCAAACTTAACTTCCACTTTCTATGACATTACCTATCTATGGTTTTAATTGACCATGTAACTCGTGCCGATGTCACATAATTGCCATTTTCGTTAACAAATGCAACATCACTCCCAAAGCGTTCGTTTCTCTGTTTGGCTTATATTTACGTTTTTGTTTGCATCCACTTAAAAGACATTCATTATTAAGGTAAACACATATAAGGACCGTCCAAGAAACTCTTAACTGATATTATTATTATTATTAGTCGTGGTTACTAAAAATAGTTATTTTAAATTATTTATCACTTTAGAAGTTCAAAATAAAATTAACTTTATATTTTTTTTTTACCCTTAGTATTAATTATCCTTGAAAACTTCAAACACCTCAATTATGATTAACTTTATTCAAATATCGATGAAAAAAGATTAAATATTAAGACATGAATAAGGTTAAAGATATCAAAATTCCATCTTAATTAGTTTTTCTTAGGGGGCGTGTACAAGAGAATCATGACAGATAATATGAGACGGAGAGGGTACCAAATTATAAACGGAAAAGGCCAAAAATACCCCTAACGTATTGAATATGGCTCAAAAATATCCTCCGTTAATCTTTTGGTTCGCAAATGCCCATAACGTTTGCTTTTGGGCTCAAACTTACCCATATATCTAACCGAACAAACCTGGTCAATTTTTTGACTTTAACTTCGCCATGTGGTATTTTTTTAACCCGCCACATATATTATTTTTATTAAATAAAACTCACATGTATCTTTTAAAATACCCAACGACCATGACTCGCTCCTATATATTTGGACGGTCAGCTAAAAATAATTATATTCGCTAGTTAAATATATAAAAAATATACACTAATTATATATAAAAATATGTATATTATATATTAATATTTTAATATATATTTTACATGACATTATTATTAGGAGAAATTATACGGTGTAGTTTTTCCTATTAATTATGATCTATAACTCGAATTTATTAAGCAAATCTGACAATGGAACGACCGTTTTTGCTAATATTTTAGCTATATCGTTATATATTAAAACACTATTAGTTCCCATTGAAAAGATCAAGTGAAGTCCATAAATATGCTAAGCAGTTGGATATGTATATAATTAATGATTTTAAAAAAATTTCTTTCCATATGTTTCTTTGCTTCTCCTTTAGAATGTCATATAAATAGAACATTATAATTTTTATGTTTGCAAATTAAAATTTATATTTGTTAAACTTGTTAAGATCTGCAAAATTTAAAGGAAAAACTACACCTTATAATTTCTCCTAAAAATAATATCATGTAAAATATATATTAAAATATTAATGTATAATATACATATTTTTATATATAATTAATGTATATTTTTTATATATTTAACTAGCGAATATAATTATTTTTAGCCGACCATTCAAATATATAGGAGCGGGTCAGGATCGTTGGGTTTTTTAAAAGATACATGTGAGTTTTATTTAATACAAATAATATACGTGATGGGTTAAGAAGATGCCACATGACAAAATTAAAGTCAAAAAATTAACCAGGTTAGTTCGATTAGATATAGGAGTAAGTTTGAGCAAAAAACAAATGTTAGGGACATTTGCGAATCAAAAGATTAACGGATGATATTTTTGAGTAATTTTCAATACGTTACGGATATTGTTAGCCCAAGGATGATAATAGGCATTGCTAACTCAAATGGCGGTTTATCGAGGACCGTTTGTCCATAGACTTTTTATCAGAGTTTTTTCTGGATTTTCTTTTTAAAGACGCGTTTATCTATGAAATGTTTAAGTTTTTGAAGATTTTTAGAAAATAAATTTTTCAAAAATCAAAAAGTGATTTTGGCTTTCAAAAATTTCAGATATTTTTTTACCACTCAACAAAATTGTAATATTTTTAAAGTGAAATATATATCAAAATATAATTTTAAATTTTAAATATCATTTTTAAACTTCAATTCAAATACTAT